TCTGGGATAACCCCAGGAGTGGAATGGGGTGGGGACCGGCTCTGGAATAACCCCAGGATGGGAATGGGGCTGGGAACAGCTCTGGGATAACCCCAGGATGGGAATGGGGGTGGGAACAGCTCTGGAATAACCCCAGGGTGGGAATGGGGCTGGGAACAGCTCTGGGATTACCCCAAAGATGGGAATGGGGCTGGGAACAGCTCTGGATTTACCCCAGGACAGGAATGGGGCCGGGAAGGCTGTGCTGGGGCAGGGGGATCCCCCTGATCCCCCCTGATCCCAGGGGTGACCTTTCCCTGCTGTTGCAGACGGAGAGCGAGGACGGGGCCCAGGAGAACACCTTCTCCATGGACCCCCAGCTGGAGAGGCAGGTGGAGACCATCCGGAACCTGGTGGATTCCTACGTGGGGATCATCAACAAATCCATCCGGGACCTCATGCCAAAGACCATCATGCACCTCATGATCAACAATGTGAGGGGGGAAAAGGGGGATTGGGAGGGGGAAAGGGGACGGAGAGGGGAGAAAAGTGGATGGAAAACTGTGGGAGGAGCTGGAGGGGCTCAGCCTGGAAAAGGAGGCTCCAGGGGCACCTCCTGGCTCCTGGCAATTCCCTGGAAGGAGGTTGGAGCCAGCCAGGGGCTGATCCCTCCTCCCAAAGGGGACAGGACAAGAGGAAAGGGCCTCAAGCTGTGCCAGGGGAGGTTCAGGCTGGGTTTGGGGAGAATTCTGGAGTTTTCCATCCCTGGCACAGCGGGTGTCCCCTCCCTGGAGAACCATGCCGGTGGCACTCAGGGACAGAACCCACCCCAAAAACCCCCAACTGCCCCCCAAACCCCTCAGCAGCACATCCCAGCCCTTCCCTCGTGTCCCCAGACCAAGGATTTCATCCACTCGGAGCTGCTGGCCTTCCTGTACTCGTCGTCGGACCAGAGCAGCCTGATGGAGGAGTCGGCGGAGCAGGCGCAGCGCCGCGACGAGATGCTGCGCATGTGTGCCCTCAGCTCCCCCCCGTTCCCCCCCACAGGAGGCCCCCGGCGGCCCCGAGCCGCCCGACCATCATCCGCCCGGCCGAGCCCTCCCTGCTGGATTAACCCCGGGATCCGCGGGATCCGCGGGATCCGCCGCCCCCCGTGCCGCCGCCAGCGCCCTCGGAACGGGAGAAACGGGGGAGAAACGGGGAAAAACGGGAAAAAAACCAACCCAGAGCCAGCCCGGAGCTCCTGGGGCAATCCCGGGGCTGATCCTGGGGAGATCCCAGGGGGATCCCAGATCCTGGGGCTGATCCTGGGGTGGTCCCAGGTCCCATCCCGGGCTGATCCCAGCCCCCAGGGTGGTCCCATCCCAGGGTGATCCCAGCCCCCAGGGTGGTCCCAGGGTGGTCCCAGGTCCCATCCCGGGCTGATCCCAGGCTGATCCCAGCCCCCAGGGTGGTCCCAGGGTGGTCCCAGGTCCCCTCCCGGCGGGGGCAGCTCCCGGGCAGGTCCCAGCAGCTGATCCTGGCAGCTCCGGGGCCCCCCCGGTGCCCCCCGGGCCGGGGCAGTGACGGATTTTGGGGTGGGGGTGGCGGGGGGGAACTTTGCACTTTGTCAGAATTCCCGAGGGGGGAGGGCCCGGCCCTGCCTCTGCCTTCCTCCCCCCCTTCCTCCTCCTCCTCCTCCTCCTCCTCCTCCCCCGTTCCCGGATTCCGGGGATTCTGCCCCAAACTCGCCCGCGGCTCCTCCCCCGCCCCCTCCCCGGGGTTTGGGGCTTTTTTTTTTGCTTTTTTTTTTTGGTTTTTGGGGTTTTTTTTAAAGAATTGGGGTTTTTGAGCAGGGGAAAACACTGGAATTCCCAGAGGGATTCGGCAACGATCCCAATTCCCTGAGAACCTCAGGAATTTCATCCCGGGAATTACCCGGGAGAGGAGGAGGAGGAGGAGGAGGGGGAGGGGGAGGAAGCTGCGGCCCCCCCCGGGGTGGGGGAGGGGGCTTTGCTCCGGAAGCTTCTCCCCCTCCCCACCCCCCGTTCCCGATCCCGCTCCGCCGGGAGCCGAGGTTGTAAATATTTTTACAGACTTGTATTAATTGTAGGAAAAAAAAAACCCACAAAAAAAAAAAAAAAAGAGGGAAAAAAAAACAAAAAAAAACCCACAAAAAAAACAAAAAAAACAAACCAGGAAAAAAAAAAAAAAAAAAAAAAAAAGGAAAAAAAAAAGAAAAAAAAAAGAACCAAATCGCGGCCCAGCAATAATGTGGATTTTTCCAACCCCCCCCGGCCCCGGTGCCTTAACGACCCCCCGGCTCGGGGGGGCCAATTAATCCATTAACGAGCCGGGGGCGGTTTTGGGGGGGCGGCTCCGGCCCCCCCCGGGGGTCCCCCCGAAGTGCCTCCGCTCCGCGTCCCATTAATGAACTAAAAACCGGCAAAAAAAAATCCGAATAAAGGGAAAAAAAAAAAAAAAATCCAAAACCGAGTGAGGTGTGGAATTCGGGGGGTGGGGGTTCCACGGCGCGGCCCCCCCCATTCCCACCGGATCCTGCCCGGTCCCGCTCCCGTTCTTGGGGGGAATTCCGTGGGGAACGGATAAAAAATGGTTAAAAAATCCCGAACCCCGGGAATTGGGGAACTTCGGGACGGAAATCCCGCCGGGATCCACCATGGGCGCCGCCATGGGCGCCGCCATGGCTGCGCGACGCCGCTCAGGAAAGGCCCCCCTGGGGCTGCCCGCGGCGGTGCCTGAGGCGGGAGGTGACGCAGAGGCCGCGCCTGAGGGCGATCCCGGCGGCGGATCCCGGTGAGTGATCCCGGTGAGCGATCCCGGTGAGCGATCCTGCTGGCAGATCCCGGTGGAGCATCCCGGTGCTTCCTCCAGTCGCGGACCGCGGAGTTTTTCAGGCGCCATCGGGGCCGCCCGAGGCGCGGGGTCCTCTCCTGTCCCTCCGCGCTCATTGGCTGCTCCCTCTCCGGCCTTTCGGAGCTCTGATTGGTCAGCGCGAATTTGGGCCCGCCTCCTCCTCAGCGCGCGGGGTTCTCGAGCGCCCCCTGGTGGAGCTGGACTCCCACAATGCACCGCGCGGGCCCGGGGGCGTTTTAGGGCAAATTTGGGGATTTTGAGGCGGATTTGGGGAAATTTGGGGCAGATTTGGGGCGGATTTTCAGGTCCAGGGGGGAAAACGGCGACAGATTCGGAGATCTGGGGGCAGACCTGGAGCTGATTTGGGGGTGGGGGCGGATTTTGGGTGTTTCAGGGCGGATTTTGGGGTCCAGGCGCGGATTTTGGAGCCCGGGCTCCCTTCCCCCACGCCCTCCACGTGCAGTTCCCCATTTCAGCTCTCACAGAAATCCCTTCCCGGCCCCGAGCTCGGAGCTTTGGGTGCAAAAACCCCAATTTTGCGCAATGGCCGCAAAGCTGCGTTTCCTGCGGCCCCGGGAGCGCTTCCTTCCTGCGCCCCGCGCCCGGCACGGCCCATCCCGGAGATCCCGGCGATCCCGGAGATCCCGGAGATCCCGGTGATCCCGGAGATCCCTCGGTGCCGGGGAGCGCCTGGAGCGGGAGGAAGATGAGGATGAGGATGAGGATGAGGATGAGGATGAGGATGAAGACGATGTTGGCGTTTCTCCTCCTCGTGGCTGCGGCCTCGTGCTCGAGCCAGACCGGGCAGGATCCCGGCGAGGATTCCCGCCAGAATTCCCGGGATTTTCCTGAGGATTCCCGGGATTTAACCGAGGATTCCCGCCAGAATTCCCGGGATTTGACCGAGGATTCCCGCCAGAATTCCCAGGATTTGACCGAGGATTCCCGCCAGAATTCCCGGGATTTAACTGAGGATTCCCGCCAGAATTCCCGGGATTCCGGCACCGCCGCGGGACCCGCACCCACGGCCGGGACCGTGCGGGACGGCACCGGGACCCCGCGGGACGGCACCGGGACCCCGCGGAAAGGCACCGGGACCCCGCAGAACGGTACCGGGACCCTGCAGAACGGCACCGGGACCCCGCGGGGCGGCACCGGGACCCTGCAGAACGGTACCGGGACCCCGCAGAACGGTACCGGGACCCCGCAGAACGGTACCGGGACCCCGCAGAACGGTACCGGGACCCCGCAGAACGGTACCGGGACCCCGCAGAACGGTACCGGGACCCCGCAGAACGGTACCGGGACCCCGCAGAACGGTACCGGGACCCCGCAGAACGGTACCGGGACCCCGCAGAACGGTACCGGGACCCCGCAGAACGGTACCGGGACCCCGCAGAACGGTACCGGGACCCCGCAGAACGGTACCGGGACCGCGCCCGGGCTGATCCCTGTCACGCTCCCGGTGCCAGATCCCGGTTCTGGATCCCGGTACCGGATCCCGGTGATCCCCCGCTCTCTCTCCCTTCCAGATCCTCCCTGGCTCCTCCCGGTCTCGGTCGGTGTCGCCGTCCCGGGGCTGCTGCTGCTGCTGGGGGCTGCGGCCGCGGCCGGGCGAGGTGGGAGGGGGGGTCGGAACCGGGATTCCCGGGGGTTCAGAACCGGGAATTTGGGGGGTTCGGAACCGGGAATCCCGGGGGTTCGGAACCGGGAATTCGGGAGTTCGGAACCGGGAATTCGGGGGGCTCGGAACCGGGAATTCGGGGGGTTCGGAACCGGGAATCCGGGAGTTCGGAACCGGGAATCCCGGGGTGTTCAGAACGGGGAATTCGGCGGGGTTCGGAACCGGGAATCCGGGAGTTCGGAACCGGGAATTCGGGGGGTTCGGAACCGGGAATTCGGGGGTTCAGAACGGGGAATTCGGGGGGGTTCGGAACCGGGAATTCGGGGGGTTCGGAACCGGGAATCCGGGAGTTCGGAACCGGGAATCCCGGGGTGTTCAGAACGGGGAATTCGGCGGGGTTCGGAACCGGGAATCCGGGAGTTCGGAACCGGGAATCCCGGGGACTCAGAACCGGGAATTTGGGGAATTCAGAACCGGGAATCCGGGAGTTCGGAACCAGGAATTTGGGGGTCTCACCGCCCAGGGACCCCCACCCCACTCTGCTGGGCCCCTCCGGTGCCACCGGTTCTGTCCTCTCAGGCCTCCGGCGGCGGCGTGAACGGACCCACACGGTGCCGGTGGCGGCCCCGGTAAGGCCGGAGCCCCCCGTGGCCCCCGAACCCCCCCCGGACCCCTCAGTCCCACCCAGGTCCCCCCAAATCCACACCCGCGCCCCTCCTGTCCCGGCAGAGCTTCCCCTTGGCCCCCGCGCCGACGTCGCTGTCCCCGTGAGGGGTCCCGGGGGTCCCGGTCGGCCCCCGCTCCGTCCCGGTGTCCCCACGGATCGAGGCTGGCCCTGGATCCGGTCACCGGGAGGAGCCCCCCCCCCGCTCCGGTGCTGCCGGGGCTCCACCGGACTCGACGGTGCAATAAAGGTGTGAATCTCCAGCGCCGCCGCATTCCCGGTGTCCCGCTCCCGGTGTCCCGTTCCCGGTGTCCCGTTCCCGGTGTCCTGCTCCCGGTATCCCATTCCCGGTACCTATTCCCGGTGTCCCATTCCTGGTGCCCCGCTCCCATTCCCGGTGTCCCGGTGTCCCAT